AACCCAGCCAGATCCTTCTGACACCCATTATGCTACTTTATTTAATATATGTGGCTCTGTCAATCGTAAAGAGTCTGCTATTTCTGTATCATTTATCATTGTCTGAGGTGAGCTATTAAAATATGCTGTTTTGTCATTCATTACTTTTTTATCACCCTTATCTTCAACCTTGTCAAAAGTAACCTTTACTGTCTCTACAAATTTCAGGCCTTTCATTTCATTCAATATCTTTTTAATATATTGACCAACAGCCGAATCTTGTGCTCTGCATTTGAATTAACGGATATTTGTAATAATTTTTTATGTTTATCTCATATGATTTAATGTATCCTTTTAAAGCCTTGTTCGTCTCATCAATTACTGTTCTAGGTAGAGGAACAGGCTTCTTTGTTCTTGGTTTAGGCACTGGTTACTCTGGTTTATAATAATCTCGAAACTCTATAGGTGTTTCAATTATGTTTTCTACATAAGCTTGAACCATCTGTTTAAGGTTATTGAACAATGGAGCGAATTTGATTTTCCTGTTTAATGTTTTTTGTTGATATTCTGGAACAGGTCTCAAATTCATTATTTTGTCAATGAGCTGGTCTTTTGTCAGATTCAGTAATTCGCTTTTATTCATATCTATGTTATATGTACATATATTTTTTCCATATTTTCTATATGTGATTTTTCTTTAAGTGTTTTTCGATTTTTTAATCTGGTATTCTCCATACCCATATTTTATATACGTGATTTTTCTTTAAGTGTTTTTATTTCGAGGATTCCCAAAATTTGAAAAACAAGTCTGAACAAGCTTGAATCGGTTTGAACTGGTTTTAGATCCGCCATTTTGAATTTTCCTGAATCTGCGTTTTTGGATTCCGACTTTGTTGAAAATATTTTTCAATAAAGTTTTCACATTTCTGGAAATTGGATTTTTGATCTAAATTTTTTTGATGAATGTTTCAAAATTTTTACAGGGCATTTTTTGGATTTGGACTTTTGATATCAGATTTTTTTTTTTTTGAACCCCTCATTTTGAAATGTGCTGTACACCCGAATTACTATACTACTTGCTTCGCTTTTTAGTTCACTGCAATTACGCTTGGGAAACATTAATTCTAAAGTTTTGTTTAGGAAAGCCCTGGACGATTTTTACTTGTGATTTTTTATTGTAGTTTTTAACGGTTTTAATCTAGTGCATGTCTTTTTAAAATATTTTTGTTTATTCTTATTTATGCAATAATTATGTTAAATATCTCTTTTCTTTTTTAAGAGCAGGACCCCTTTGATAGCACTACTTGGTACTGAAGGGCTATCCCGGATAAATATTCGATTATTATTATTATCATTACTTAATTATTGAGTAATTCTCTCTTCATTGCAAACTTACGTAAACATTAAAAGCAATTCCATTTTCTTTCAATTTTAAATTTCAAAAACGAACAAACTAACGAAATTCGAAAACAAAATTGATTTTGAGTTACCTTCAAAGATTACGTCAACATAAACAGAAATTCTATTTCTTTTATTTTGAATTACCTTCACGCTTCTTAGATGTGCCATTAGTCTGTACACTTACGGATAGAATCACCCGTTGGCCAAGCAGTTTCTTTGCCTCTGAAACATTACCAAAGTTCTTATGAGATGCGTAATTTGTTCACGCAGTTTGATTTTAACACATTGTAACAGAAAGACTGAAATATCAATACAGGTTTAAGTTGTTTACGAATATGTAGGTATATATACTAAACAACAGAAACACGACAACACGGAATCTATTTGTTTTATGTAATAAACGAGCAACACATTGTTAATGGTGACGTCATTTATGCGTCTGTCCTCCTGTTTGGGTTGCATGTCCTGTTGGCAAACTAATGGCAGTTGTTTTCCCCTTTTCAATGACAATTTTTCGAGAGCAATATCTAACGGCGACAGAATGGTACCAGAATGCTCTTGGTTCGTATATTGTCCAGCAGTAACAATGCCAATCCTTGACATGGACTCGTTTCCGTCACGTTTTTCAAAACCACAGCTCCAGAATCATCTTTCTGAGTGAATCTTTTTTCTTTGTTTTAAAGGATTAAGCAATCTTGCTAAAGAATCACTTCATAATTTTCAGAAGTTTAACGCGTGTGAAGGTCAAGATATGTCACAGGCGCCCGGTTACCTAGGGGAGGATTCTAATACATTGGGACAAATGAACTTTTTATCGAAGAGTATCCAGAGACACTGACGCTCTTACACCATTCTCTCTCAGAACATTGGACTTCATCAGACTAATGACACTGTCAATTGGGTAATCTGAAGTGCCAATAATTTCGAGAAAGTGATTTCTTTTAAGGGCTTCTGATTTTTCATCTCTCAACTTAGCTACTGCAGCATCGATGCAAATTTCTGTTTTGTAGTGACGTTTGCATAAGGGGCTATTTGCGCACGTGGCCGCGAAAACCATATGAGAAGTCTGCTCTAGAGGTTTTGCACGTGTCACGTGAGATCATAGCAACCGTAACTAGGCCGCCATCTTACATGCCAGGTCCAATGTAGATAAAAAAAAGATTCTGAAGGTATTTCGCCACTATAGGAAGATTTTGCTGTGTTTTCGGATGCTCCAGCCGCTCAGATAGAGATAACCAAAACAAGCCCTTATTCAATATCGAGAATTGCGGGGAAAGAGTTCCGATCCCCTATTGTACATGCTGATCAGAATCCAATTTCTGCGCACCAATTTAACGTCGAATTACAGCGGTGTTCAGTTTTCTGTGGCTTAGATACTAGTTGTTACAAAAGTCAGTCAGTCGTATTGGTGAGCGTGTTATACCACGCAATCGCTTTTTCTGCGATCATCTTTCACGATTATTTACATTATATATATCTTATTAAGGTGGCTGGTACCAGTTTCCTCGCGCGGGGAACAGGTCACTCTCTCGTGACGCGCGAGAGAAACGTGCGAAAGAAGCGTGAGATCAAAAGATGAAAATTCAAAACAAAGATGGCGGCGCGTGGATTTTTTGATAAAGAAAATATCTAGTTTAATCTTTTTAGACAAAAGAAGATTTTTCTCACACATACTAAATTACTCAGGCGTTTTAATAAATTCGAGTGCTAAATTAAAAAGCCAATTAAGTATAAGAACAAAGCAAAAAATAATTTCTTAAAAGAAAAAGATGAAAAACAACTCACCTTCAATATAACCTTTACTCTTGCTTTGTTTTCAAACTTTCCTTCTGGAAAATCAATGTACTCCTGCCAATCCTGGTCAAACTTTTGTAGAAAAATCTCTTCTTTGATATTAAAAGCAGTTTTAATAACATTGATTACTTCATGGTGCTCTCCAGAGCTGGTCAGCACTTTTTTGGAGACTCCAAACTCTACGAGAATCTGTTCATACAAAAGAAAAGACATTGTTGAAAGATAAGGTGGGATATAACGGAATATCAATTGAAACTGACTGAAAGCTTCTCAATTGCAAGCTAATAGTTTTGAGTTTTCGTCAGCGAGTTTCTAGGCACATGTTCAGTGTGACATTGAAACTTTAATAAAAAATAACTCGAAATCATCATCTCCACAAACACTGTGACCTTTGTTTTACAGAGTGGGATAAAAAATACTGCAGTGGAAAACCGATGGAATTGGATTCTTTTTCGTAATTTACTATTTGCTTGAGTTCATTGCGCGGGGGTCGAGAATCAGCAATTCAAACTCAAAGAAAATTTAAAAGAGCTTTTATATTAAGCAAAGAAATTAAAAAAGTAAAATGATTGGAAAGGCTATTTGGCCGTGTGTGTCCTCGCTAGTCGAATATCAAGACCCAAAGCTCAATAAAACAATAACAATTCAACTGATAATGAGTTGGAATATTATTAAAACATGAAATCGGCGCTCGACTTCGAACAAGCAAATATCATTGAAATATCCACTGAAAATCGATGCAAAAAACATACCATCCATCTTTAGAATATTTACTTCATCTTTATCGATTTCAAAACTATAATAAATAACTCTTGAGCTCTCAGTTTAATTAGAAAAAAATATAAATCAACACAATACCTTAATGTCGTCCATCTTGAATCCGCCTAAAGCACATGGGTGCGACTCACTCGCCTCAGTCCTCGCTCGTCCACGAATGTCAAAACCTTACTAATCCCCCACCCCACGGGCAAAACTGATGCAACAAAAAACAACAAATCCCCCACCCCCTCGGACACAAAAAAGTGCCAAAACCCGTAGTTACCCCCATCAATGCCCCATACTTCCCCGGGGTGGGGGGGTG